AAAAATGTCGAGATCATCGGCTACGCGCGGTCGAAAATGACTCAGGACGAGTACAAGGAGCGCATCAGCCACTACTTCAAGACCCCCGACGACCAGTCCAAGGAGCAGGCCAAGAAGTTCCTCGCCAACACGTGCTACGTCCAGGGCCCCTACGACGGCGCCGAGGGCTACAAGCGCCTCAACGACAAGATTGAGGAGTTTGAGAAGACCAAGCCCGAGCCCCACAACCGGCTCTTCTACCTGGCTCTCCCCCCCAGCGTCTTCCTGGAGGCTGCTGCTGGTCTGAAGCATTACGTCTACCCCGGCGAGGGCAAGGCCCGAATCATCATCGAGAAGCCGTTTGGCCACGACCTGGCCTCGTCACGGGAGCTGCAGGACGGCCTGGCTCCGCTGTGGAAGGAGTCGGAGATCTTCCGAATCGACCACTACCTCGGCAAGGAGATGGTCAAGAACCTGAACATTCTGCGGTTCGGCAACCAGTTCCTGTCGGCCGTGTGGGACAAGAACACCATTTCGAACGTGCAGATCTCGTTCAAGGAGCCCTTTGGCACCGAGGGCCGCGGCGGCTACTTCAACGACATTGGCATCATCCGAGACGTGATCCAGAACCACCTGCTGCAGGTCATGTCCATTCTCGCCATGGAGCGGCCCGTCACCTTTGGCGCCGAGGACATTCGAGACGAGAAGGTCAAGGTGCTGCGATGCGTCGACGTGCTCAACATTGACGATGTTATTCTCGGCCAGTACGGCCCCTCCGAGGACGGCAAGAAGCCCGGCTACACCGACGATGACGGTGTTCCCGACGACTCTCGAGCCGTCACCTTCGCTGCTCTGCACCTCCAGATCCACAACGACCGATGGGAGGGCGTTCCCTTCATTCTGCGAGCCGGCAAGGCCCTGGACGAGGGCAAGGTCGAGATCCGAATCCAGTTCCGAGATGTCACCAAGGGAGTCGTTGACCACCTGCCCCGAAACGAGCTTGTCATCCGAATCCAGCCCTCCGAGTCCATCTACATGAAGATGAACTCCAAGCTGCCCGGCCTGACCGCCAAGAACATTGTCACGGACCTGGACCTGACCTACAACCGACGGTACTCGGACGTGCGAATCCCCGAGGCGTACGAGTCGCTGATCCTGGACTGTCTCAAGGGCGACCACACCAACTTTGTGCGAAACGACGAGCTGGACATTTCCTGGAAGATTTTCACCGACCTGCTGCACAAGATCGACGACGACAAGAGCATCAAGCCTGAGCAGTACCCCTACGGCTCGCGAGGCCCCGAGCGACTCAAGCAGTGGCTGCGAGACCGAGGCTACGTGCGAAACGGCACCGAGCTGTACCAGTGGCCTGTCACCAAGGGCTCCTCGTGAGTATTCAAAGCAACGCGGTTGCTAGACGCCCTCCCCGTATCCACCTACTAACACTAGTTAAGATTTGAAACGGATGCTAAATTATAGCAGCGTTACACCTTTTTTATTAGGCGAAGACCAGTTTGTAAAACTAACATGATGTCAAACGAGATGTATATTCGTAGACGAGAGAGATCTTGCCCTGGACCAGTCTGATTGAGTTTGGCTGATACAGATATTGAACTGTATATGGAAAGTGACAGCGTAAAGAATGCACGGTGAAAGATGGCCATGACGTCATCCCGAGGACACTTGTCACTAGATCGGCATTTGTAAGGCCTAGACCGCACCCCTTGGCATGTGAGGACGTTTCGGTGGGCGTACTCATAAAGAGAGATTCATACACGTGTTAGAATTGCTACGTATTGGAGACTGTGAAAGATTGCTACCTTTTTTTGGAGACAAGCGGTGAATGTGATTGATGGTTAGTATTATAATTACATAGGCGGATCTTCAGTCAGACAGCTCAATGCACTCGGGCTCTGGAGGCGAAGAGAAAGACTGGAAGGGTTGGGTATAGTCGTCGTTGGAAGACGTGAACGTCTTGAGGTTCTGCGAGAACTGGTTTTGCGAGTCTCGAGTGCCAATTCGCGTAGCAGGCTGGATCTTGATAGGCGAAGAGTCCAGGTTCACAGTTTGAGGTACGTCCTCTTCAGTCGACTCTTCGGTATCGGAAAGAACAATGGTGGCATTCAGGTTGCTTGGAGCTCCGACTTCCACTAACAATGACTTGGAGGACAGAAAACTGAGAGTCGACTGCTTTCGAGCCTTGGAAGCTTTGGTTGGGCTTCCGCTGTTCGACTTCTTGACCTTGCTAGCAGGCTTTCTCGACAGAGCAGGTCTCGACAAGCCAGGAAGAGTAGACTGTTTGGCAGGCTTGCTGGGAGCTTTTCCCATAGCCATGTCCCAGTCAAAGTCGTCGCCATATCCAAACTTGCCATCGTACTCCGCAGGCTTCTCGTCGGTGATCAGGATCTCATCTGCGCTCGACACTGTTTCAAGAGGCATCTCGTCCGCAATGATCACATCGTCCGAATCGTCAACCTCTTCAGGAATGGTCTTTTGCTTGCGAGCACGAGGTTTGGGAGCCGGCTTGGAAGCCTTGACAGGCGAGCTGGGCTCCACAGGTTTCGTGACGCTGTAGAAGGAGTTTATCGACGAGTTGGACGACGTGGAGGAACTCTTGGTGTGCTTCTTGGCTCGAGGTTTTCTCGGCTTGGTCGCTGTCAGACCGTCAACGTAGACCTGCTTGTAGTCAAACTGAGACTGCATCAAGATGCTGGCAGAAACGGTGCTCTTCATTCGAGAGCAGGCATCCTCTCCGTCATCGCAGCAAGTGTGGTGGGGGTATTCAACAATGTAGTACGGACAGTACTCAATTTTGTACAGATCCTTGTCGGAAGACTTGTCTCTCTGGTTGACAAATGTGAAAAACTGGTCGTGGTCTGTGTCTTTCATCAGACGGACCATTCGAGGCCGAGCAAGTCGTTTAAACAACAGACTGTCGTCCTTCTCCTTGTTGATCCATCCCAGCTCCAGTCCCATAGTATGGAAAAATGGCACGTCCAGTTTGAACTCGGACACACTGGTGAAGTTGTACCGCTTGATGATCTTCGGGGTAGCGTAGGACTCTATGTTTGCGAGTTCCGGAGGCACAACCACAGCATTGCTTCCAATGTTCTTGTCCAGGTCCTTGAACAAGTCGCTTCTGGAGACAATTGTTCTCTTGAGCACCTTCTGTCCGTTTTTGGACATGACCGGGATTGGTTTCTGGACGATTTCTGCCTGCAGAGCTTTTGCCCATTGTCGCAACTGTTTCTCCTTTTTCGGCCGCTCAAAAACAACGTTGCTGTTTGGATCAAACTTGGATATCTCGTATAGTTGCTCTGCCCAATCTCCTCCCTGAGCAATGGCTCCGGCATACACATCCGAAATGAACTTGCCTCCAGTGCTGTAGTCTCCTCCTCTCAGAATAGCGTAACAGAGGAGCTTTGGGGGAGAAGCCCACTTGTGGTCGTCGGGCATCTCGTAAATGGCGTACTTTCCCTCCACATGAGTCTTGGGAGCGTCCGCATCCTTCTCCTTGTCCTTGGGTCTCTTGAGCTTGCGCATGATCCTTCGAGCTCCAAAGATGATCACATCGGAGTCTTCCGTGTAGGCAAAGTCAGCCAGACCTTCTCGCTGCATATGGGCACACTGGGCCTCTCCCTCTCCCGCAGCATCGACCACTGGGATGTCCAGCGATGCTGCAATCTCTCTGAAAGACGTGATGACCTTCTGCTCCTTGGTGTAGTTGATTCGCTTCTTGAGTCGCTTGACAGTCGGTTTGTCTTTGCCGTCGCACACGAGCACAATCTTGATGCCGGCCTCCAGGAAGTTGGAGCAGATGTTGAAGAAGGACGCCTTCTGGATCTTGTGAGACTCTGCAATGTTCATGTTGACCGGTGCACTTCTAGGCCCTCCAATGGCCTCCTTGTTCTGGAAGAACGTGAGGTACAGATCCACGGCCAAGACGGGTTCCCGGCCGTGCTTCTCGTAGAACTTCTTGCCAAAGCCCTCGAGAGAGATTCCTCCAGACTCGGGAGTCTCATATCCTCCGCGGCAGTCTTCGATTTCTTGCCAGAAGCTGGGTTAGCAACAGATCGGAAGCCCAAAAACGAAGAAGTATACTCACTCGCCCACCCCCATGTTGTACACTGGTTGTTTCGATGTGGATCCGCTTCAGACGAGCTGCTGACTCTGGAGTTGTGGTTTTGACCGACCTGCAGATATCAAGCACTGTATGACAATTAAATCCAGATGCAGCTAAACACAAACAAATAGATGGACCGTGACAACGACATTTCCAAACACGTCACGAAAAGACAGAAAAGTGGGTGGAATTGAAACAGGTATTTCTATGATGATTCATTGGTAGATAGTCATATATTTATAGCAGCAAAACACGAACATGCTACATGCACTGTATAGTCGAGATGAGATGAGCTTCAACTTTATCTCGAAACCATCGCCATTCTAATAGTGTCCATTGAGCTTCGAATGAGAGTACAAATGCTTTGATACGCTCAAGTCACTGTGAGAATATCAATGTTACATTCTTCGCGTATTTTGACCTTCACTCAGCCCCGCAAAGACAGGTGATGGATGAGGCCTTACAGTGCACCCTCCAAACATCACCAGCTTTTAGAGATCTGTAATTGATATTATCCAGAACCAAATTTGAAAATAAATCCACCCATAGTCGAGACATATGTCTTCTATGTTAGTTTCAAATTCAATATCTCTAATCAAGTTATCAAACCGCCCACAATCCCCGTTTCAGTGGACCCACTTTTTTGACATTTTTGGCAGAATCATAAAAACTGAAAAAACGTCAAAAACTTCAACGCCGTATATTTGGCCATTGCTCTTAAAACATTCGAATGAAATTGGTGCCAATCAAAAGATCTATCAGTAAATTACCCAACACGGGCAGTTTCATCCACCTTCATATTCCCCAGCGCCCACAAAAACCGTTTCAAAATTTCGGAGGTCACGTGAGTTCGTCCTCAGATATTAACAAAAGTACGATTTTCGGAGGAGCAGCTCCGGCTCCACTGGCCAAATGGTAAGGCGTCCGCCTCCTAAGCGGAAGACTGCGGGTTCGAGTCCCGTGTGGAGTGTGTCTAAAATTAAAACTGCTTAATTTTAGGTTAAACTTTTTGACATGTTCCCAAAAGTGAAACCGGAACCATGATCTATCGCATTTAATTATATTCCTCGATTCATCGCTCCATCACTTTTTGCATCTCAACATGTTCTTCTCGCATCTCGGAAAGAAGAACGGAGCGCCGACAGCCAAAACCTCCGATGTCAAGCGCAAGGTGACCAAGGTCAAGACCCGCAAGCCCGTGGTCGCTTCGTCCGTGTCCAAATCGCCTTCTCCTAGCAAGACGGCTCCTCCACCCGCAGCACAAACCAAGCCCTCCACGCCCCGAAAAAGCAGACGCAAGACGCCCAACATCTACCAGCTGTCCAAGAGCTCGCTGTCCGAGGTCGACACCGAAGAAAGCGAGCGGGAAGTGAGCTCGTCGCTCTCGACTCCGGGGCTATATGAACTCGTTCCCCGAGATATCGTGGCGACCAACTTTGGATCAGCCGAGCTCGCCACCTCCATCGAAATCACAAACGCCTCGGCGTCGGGCAACCTCAGCATGACGGAAGTGTACGAGCCCGTTTCGTCCGATACGGCTCTCAGCGACAGAGCCAAGCTGACGGCGCTCTCGTGCGACTTTGCCGAGGAGTACGCCCTGATCAAGCCCAAAATCCCGGGGGAGTTTGAGCCCGTGCGGGAGATTCTCAGCATCATGGAGATGACGGCGCTGCATTTCGTCGACAAGACGGCGTCGGAGGAAATCAAACATCCGGTCATGGATGACTGCATCATGAGACGGTTCCGCAGAGCATACGAGGGCGGCGATCTGGAAGGAATGAAGACGTCCATCAAGGAGTTTGACCAGGTGGTCAAGCAGCAGCGCTCCGAGGGGGCTATTCTCGCCAACCTCAAGCAGCTCACCGCGGTGCCGCAGGATCTAGCATACTTTCTCCTCAACCAGGTCTACAGCAGAATTGTCTCACCCGAGTCCAAAAGCCTGCGGGACTACAAGGCGTTTTCAAACAACGTGTACGGCGAACTGATGCCTCCGTTTATGTCGACCGTGTTCCAGAAAACGGACCTACAGCCAAGCTCGGTGTTTGTGGACCTGGGATCGGGAGTGGGAAATTGTACATTACAGGCAGCTCTGGAGGTGGGCTGCGAAAGCTGGGGCTGCGAAGTCATGACCAACGCGTCCAGTCTGGCGGAAAAGCAGAAAATAGAGCTCTACAGCCGGGCCAAGATGTTTGGCATCAAGACCGGAGACGTTCATCTGGTGGCCAGTAGTTTTGTTCATAACGATGAGGTGCACTCGGCCCTCACGCGGGCAGATGTATTGCTGGTAAATAACTATGCATTCGACGGCACGCTCAACGCGCATCTGCTGGACATGTTTCTGGATCTCAAGGAGGGATGCAAGATTGTGTCGCTCAAGTCGTTTGTGCCCGTGGGCCATGTCATCTCCGAACACAACATTGAGTCACCTGTCAACATTCTCAAGGTGCAAAAGTTGGACTTTTACTCGGGCTCTGTCTCCTGGACGGCTGCCGGAGGAACATATTACATTTCGACCGTGGACAGAAGCGCCATCAAGGCGTTTTTGCAGAAGGGTGGATATTAAGGCTGGGTTAGTAAATAGAGTAAGTGTATTATTAGTGAAACAACGTCACCGTAGCGTGTACTCACCTCTCCAAAAACGCGTTGGCGTCGTTCATCTTGTCGGCATCAGCAGCTGCCTTCGCGACCCATCTCTGCACAAGAGTCTCGTTCTCCTGTTGAAGGGCTTCTGTCTTCTGCTCCAGGACGTTGAGCTGGATCTGGTTTGCCAGCATGTCGTCTTGCAGCAGAAGCAGCGCCTTGGTCTGTTCCTTGTGTTCCTCTGTCTTCTTTGCGAGAGCCTTCTCCAGCTCCTGGTTGTGTTTCTCTAGTCGTTCAGCTTTGGTGCGGTGTGTCACGTTCAGTTGCATGAGGTTGTTGAGTCGCGGGTTGACGTCTTCCCTGCTTCCTTCGTTGCTGCGTTAGATGAGATTCAAGTAGTGTCGATGATACTCACTCTGAAGTGGATGTGGCTACTGCTCTGGTAGCTGCTGTATGGACTGTGTTAGTATGGATCTCTAGCTTGAAGCTGGATACTCACAGGCTCGGTATACTTCGGCCATTGAATTGTCGCCCTCGTCTCGCTTGTCGAGAGCCACAGAAAGTGCTTCTTCCCAGTTGTTCATGGTGTAGTGTGGAGGAAGAAGTATGATTATGCAGTCAGGAAGTCAATTTGAATGAGAAGGTATGGTGAGTGGGCTACAAGTACAAGTGCTTCGTATTGTACATATGTGCTAATAAGCGAAGCTGAAACCCACGTACATGATTCATTCTCCATTTCTTCTGTTTTCTCTTTGCATTATCTTCTGCCAATGCTGGAAAGACTCCTCTATAGCCCCTACGACCAAAGATATCTTGTTTGGTTGTCTACTTGTTACTCGTGAGTGCCTGCAACAGCGTAGGTCTCTTCCAACAACATGTTACTGATGTATTTCATCTCCATATCAATCACATCTCTCTATTTGTTCAATCGAACAACACCCTGCCTGCATACCTTACTTGGGCTTTGTTGATAACAATACTTGATTATTTGTTAGGCACTACCAGCTCATCTATTCTGCCCACAAACAGAAGAGAAGCACACAGATAGTTAAATAACGCAACGCATACCATTCCTAAACATATCTTAACGCCACTTTCGTTGTAGCAGCCCTTTCAACTATCTCCTCATCATCACCCCAGATCACATCGCCATTTAGGTTTGTAAATTTCAAACCTGTACTCTCACCATTCACTATGCAACTGCGATGGGCGCTAAAAACGCCATGGATGGCGCCTCGGGCCGTCCGAATGTTTCACAGCACCCCTCTTGGTGAGTATGGTCCCCAGATCGCGCTTTTCCGCCCTCAAACAGCCCACTAACCCAGCATCGGTGCGAAAACTGCATCCGATCCTTCTCGGAAAGGCCGAGAGCATGAACAAGGAGTACCAGACGCTGCAAGAGAGCCCTAACGAGGACCAGTTCAAGGACAAGAAGCTGATTGCGAAGATCAACATGCTTGGCCAGGTCACGCACGAACTGGACTCGTACAAGAGCTCGATAGCGCAGTACGACGAGCTCATGGGCATGTGCGATGATCCCGAGCTCAGAAAGGAGGCTGAGGACGAGATTCCTTCGGTGGAGGGCGAGGCTGAGCAGGCCATCAAGAAGCTCGAGACCCTGCTGCTTCCCACACATCCCTACGGCGATATTGGATGCATTCTTGAGATGCGACCCGGTATTGGCGGAGAAGAGGCCTGTCTGTTCACCGACGATCTGCTCACCATGTACACGGGCTACGCCGACGAGATGGGCTGGCAGCACCAGATCACAAACGTGACTCGAAACGACAAGGGCGGAATCACCGAGGTGATTCTGTCGATTGACGGCGAGGGCAGCTACAACATGCTCCAGCACGAGGGAGGAGTCCATCGAGTCCAGCGAGTTCCTGCGACCGAGTCTTCCGGCCGAGTCCACACCTCTGCTGCTGCTGTTATTGTTCTTCCCCAGATTTCAGAGACCTCTGTTGCCGCTGAAGACATTCAGTTTGCTGCTGGCGAGGTGCGAATCGACGTCATGCGAGCCCAGGGAGCTGGAGGACAGCACGTTAACAAGACGGAGTCTGCTGTCCGTCTCGTGCACATCCCCACCAAGACCATGGTGGTGATCCAGAACTCGCGTTCGCAGCGGCAGAACAAGGAGACGGCCTTCACGATTCTGCGAGGCCGTCTGGCTGAGATGAAGCGTCGAGAGCAGGCTGCCAAGAGCAAGAGCGCTCGAACCAGCCAGGTGTCTGCCACGGACCGGTCGGACAAGATCCGGACGTATAACTTCCACCAGAACCGAGTCACGGACCACCGATGCGGGTTCAGCGGAAACCTGGACGTGGTCATGTCTGGCAAGCGGCTGGACTCTGTGCTGGAGGCGCTGGAGGATCACTACCGCGAGGAGTCCATCAAGGACCTCGAGGTGACGGAATAGGATGTATATAGTATTGATAGATTGACTTTTAGATGTGATGGGTGAGTAGCCTTCAAGTAAAGTCAAGTGGTGGGGGTGAGTAGCCTTCAAGTCAAGTAAAGTCAAGTCAAGTAGTCAAGTAAAGTCCAGTAAAGTCAAGTAATTGGGATGTAGAGGAAGTATGAGAAATCCTGAGAAAACGGAAATTACGCGAAAATTATTAAATAGAACTGTTCCGCTGGCCCAGTCTAAACAAAATAACCAGTAGTTGGCACATCCCATGCCCACTTCAGCCAGATAACGTGAGTCGTGCAGGAGGGTAAGGGCTGCATCAATTAATCACCATCGCGACTATCGGATATCTTTGTCCACCCCCACCATGTCTCTGGACAACGAAGAAACGCTGGCGTCGCTGCGCAGTGACATCGACACGGTCGTGCAGAATACGCTCAACCCCGCCATCGACACCACGGCCTGGAAAATCCGCGCGATCCACGAGTCCCAGGTCGTTCTTTCCACAGTCTTGCACGGTCTGAGTATATGTGAGTGGAAGTCAGGAGGAAGATAGTCGGTCGGACTTGGAGTTCATTGAGCAGATTGAATGACGTTCGTGATACGGCTGAAATGCCCCTCATCGAACAAACAAGCCAATTGATCGGACATTCTAACCCAGCGTTGAAACACTACCAGGAAACCACCAAGGATCTGGTGGCCGTGTCGAGCATCTCCGCCCAGATCAGGGACGCTGAGACACGTCTGGAGACGCTGAACCGCACGCTTGCTACTGTGGAGGCGCGCCTTGCTCGCATTGACTCGATGGCCTAGCACTGTGGTCTCACATGGCCACGAGAAGTGACCGTCTCACATGGCTGCGGGGAAAAGAGCCACAAGCCCGGGGTATGCTTTGCCATAAGTCCGCGGATTGGCTTCACGAGGTTTGTTGGCTGCGACTGCTTTAGGCGGTCGATCCAGATGCATGTGGCCGAGCCTCT